TATATATATATATGTGTGTGTGTGTGTGTGTGTGTGTGTGTGTGTGTATGTGTGTGTGTAGAGATAGATTTGGAAAACACCTTTTTTTCACCATATAGAAGATATAAACAAAAGTGCATTTAATTAAATTTCACCACTACCATTCCCTTTTCCAATTATGCATTTGAGGAATAAAACTAGGTAAGAGTTCTCATCTCACTTTAAAATAGTGTTCAGAAAACGTGTACTCACATTTTGCAGGCAGGTCATAGCCACATGTGATTTTTGCATGTCCAGTTTCACAGCCATTCAGGTTACGACATTCCGCTAGCAGGCAGGGGCCAGCTGCTCTATGAATACAGCCATCCACTAGGGGAGAGAGGAAACAGTTAGCCTTGGTCAGTTGCAAATAAATATAGTGCATGAGATGAAAAGAGAAAAAGGAATTGCCCCAGCCCTATGGAAGAAAACCCATGGAGTTCAATCCTTCAGATAGTATGTTCTTTATCTATCCATCCATCCATCCATGCCTCTTTCTGTGGTTTATGAGGTGAGTAGTACAGAGGTTAAAAAACTGGTGTACTGATAAATGTTAAAGAACAGGTTCTCTTGGAATAGAAGAGTCCCTAATGTGTGGTGTTTTCTTATTTCAGTGTTGTAAATACTACCTCCCCTATCTAATTTCGAGCCATCAACTTGATGTCACTGAACACAGGGTTGAGAAGAAATGCTAACAGTCTCTCCTGAGCTGGTAAGTGTTGCCTCCAGCATGCCACAGGTTATACAAGAAAAACATGTCAGGAACAAAGTAAGAACGGGACTCTAAAACATCATTCTCAAAATTGAGAGAGTAGAATTGAAGTGATCAAATTAAGAACCAAACCTCTGAGCAGCTTCTCTGTCAACAGCCCACCACAAATATGATTGTATTTCTGACTGGGCAAGAAAGGGTAGACTAGGTTTTGATGAATGCCCATAAGACCACTTCTCACTCATTCGGCAGAGACTAAAGCAGAACTACTGCTGCTATGCTCTTATTCTAGTAAATGAACAGGATTTTCGCCTTGATCAACCCCGGGTCTTACAGCTCTCTGGTTTCCATTATAAATCCCTTTCACCTCCCAGCTTCACAGTGAGAATCAGTTTTCAAAAACACAAATCCGGGACCAGCAGATAGCGTAATGGTTATGTCGCTGGACTCCCATGTAGTTGACCATGGTTCGCGTCCTGGACCAGATAGCTTAAAACTCACACCAGGCACATGTGCATGCGTGCCTAAGATCCCAGAGAAGAATGGAGGAGAAGGGATTGCAGCATGGTCATCCCCCCGGGGGGGTGATTTCTCACTTCCTATCTCTCTATCTCTCTCTGTCTGTCTGGCACGCGCACATACCCTATAGCAAAAATCTCTTTAAAAAAAAAGCCACAAATCCAATGTTACATGGAATTAAAACCTTCTGTGACTGAATTGAGGGGAGATGCTATGATGGAGGGCTAAAAGATGATATACACATTAACTTAGGAAATTGAGAATTCAGGCTCTTAATTACTGAATGTGCCCCTTAGACAAGAAATGTAAGATTGCAGAACAAAGAGGAAAAAAAAACAACCAGAAAGAAAGAGTAATAGTAATCTGGAATGTGAAAACAGACATGAGAGGTCTGAAGACCTCTCACTACAGTCCATAACGACATTCAATTCATCACTGCTCATCATTATTATCATCATGATTATTATTTTGTGAGGAAGCTGGATTTTGGATGGAATATTGGCACTGAAGGAAGTAAAACTTGTCTAATGTTTAAGTTGACTTCAGCTGCCACGGGCTGGGGTGAAGGCATCACTTTTGGTTGAGCAAGTCTCCTCTGGAAACAAGTCTTACTGCAGCACCACTTATGTATCTATAAAGTTTGAGAATAAACTTGGGCCTTGAAGACCCTCACAACCATATTCATTCACTTTATACTACTTTCAACTGCCGTGTTTCACAATAACCTAGGTTTAAATCCAAACTCTACCCTTTACCAGTCATATGATGCTCCTAGCCTCATTTTTTTTTTCTAAATAACTGTCAGTAATGGTACTAACCCACATGTTTATACAAGGAATTTGCATAAGTTTGTGCATAGCTGGTATTTAGCATAGTGTCAGGTACACTGTCTTGTTTCCCACTGATGGTTGATATTCTAAATATCCTAAATCAAAATTTTGCATGAATTTTGCAGTAACTCTTTTATTCATTTAAAAATGAGAAGTAGAAAGAATATGAAATCATTATTTACTCTATAACCCAGAGAACTCTTCCAAAGACTGATGCTCAAACTGTTTATGCACACCCATTAAGTAATTTTCTCTTACCTCCTCAAAAAAAAAAAAAAAAAAAGATAGAGGGGACAGCAGGTGGCATGGAGGTTAGGGTGCCTGGATTACACATAACTGACTGTGTGGCTTGAGTCCTGGACCTAGCAGCTTGAAAAACATACCAGGTGCATGTGCTTATGTGTTCAAAATCTCAAAAGAATAGAGAAGGGATTATAGTGTGGCCATCCCTTCAGGGGGTGATTTCTCACTTTCCTTCTTTTCCACTCTCTCTTTCCAACAAGCCATATTGCAAAACTAAAAAGAAAAAAAGATAAATTTTGTTCAAACTCTTTCTTTTTAATTGCCAGGGTGAATGAGCTTGCCAGAGAGAGAGAGAGAAAGAAGAGCAAGAAATAAAGCATTCCCCAATGGGCACAACACATAATCACTGTAGTATAGGACTAGCCTGTTCAAACTTTCTATTAGCATTTAGCAATTAGCAAGTTAACTACTTAGCAAATTTATTTTATCATTTATTACATAAAATTATTAACACAAGTACAAAAGATCTATGTACAAGAAAAATGTAGAGTTTGACTATGAAAATTAATAAAAAATTACTTGCAACTACTAGGATTTCTCTCCAAAGAGAGCTAGTTAAATAAACAAAAGTCTACCAACACCATAGACAATAATGTAGCTGTTAAGAAAAAGAACTGGGGCCAGCAGGTGGCATGGTAGTTAAGGCTCTGGACTCCCACATGGGTGACCACAGTTCAAGTCCTGGACCCGGAAACTTAAAATCACATTGGATGTGTGTGCATGCCCAAGATCCTAGGTAGAAAGTGAAGAAGGGATTTCAGGATGGCCATCCCCGTGGGAAGTGATTTTTCACTTTCCTTCTATCTCTCTCCAGTGAGCATACACGCCCTATGGCCCACTATCCCAGTAAGAAAGTAAAGGAGAAGGGATTGCAGCATGGCCATCCCTCGGGGAGGTGATTTCTCACTTTTATTCTGTCTCTCTCCAGTGAACACATGTGCCCTATGGTAAAAACCTTACAAAGAAAAAAAAAAAGAAAGAAAAAGAACAGACCAGCTATATAGGTAAACAGAATCACTTAAGCTTTCTAAATGAAAATGCCAGGTTTAGAAAGTATATGTTAATATACTCACCATTTTGTTTGCAATGTTGTACATGCACACACACACACACACGCACACACACACACACACACACACACACACACACACACACACACAGAAAAGATATGCCCAATTGATTAAGTGATTATGGGGTGGGAAACAGAGTAAGACTATTACCAAAAATATGATGCCTATAAACAGTGCTTTTCAAGGTCGGTCTAGGCAACGTCGTGAGTTCTTGTCTCAAAAACAACAACCAAAAATAATCAGCTTTAACGGCAAATAAATTATTAGTTACTTAGTTTTAAGTGTATAATTAAATTAGGATTTGCTAGTATACTTCATCATACGCTCTCAAACATTATCTGCATTATTTAGATTGTATTCTAATGGCGTTCACAGATACCTGATTCTCAAAATCATCCTGGTTGTATCAATATTCCTGAATACTCTAGGGCAACAAAAGTCTAGCTAAAGAACTATTTAATAATAATGACTGCAGTTAAATGTACTGAATATTGTCTACATGCAGGAGATGTTAAAGACCACCTTTGATACTAACTGTATCATCTCTACTTCACAGGCACTTAGAAGAGGTTAGTAACTTACCTATGTTCACGAAGTACTGGCAACATGATTCAAAACCCCAGATTTGTGGGCTACTGCAACCATGCTCCTAACAATTAGAATTCAATGCCGTTGGGACTTAAATCCAGGCAGTCTTACCCCAATTCCTGCACGTGGAAGAGTCAACCACCATATCACATTACTTTCCGATTCCCACCAATTGTATTTATGGCTTATAATGTATTTACAATAAAAAAGTACAGATAGTAAGTGTGCACTTCTGTTGGGTTTTAACAAATGTGTGCACTCATGCAACCATGATGTCAAATAAGATACAAAATATTTCCATCAACCCAGAAAGTTATCTTGTGCCCCTTCTACCCAGTTCCCCCTCCCAGCAAGAACTTCTGATCTGGGCCTGGCAGGTGGCATGGTGGTTAAGGTACTGGACTCCCACATGGCCAACAGCAGCTTGAGTCTGGACCTGGTGACTTGCATTCTCTCTCTGTATATATGGTCAAATTTAATAATAATAATAACAAATAAAATTAGGTTCTTAAGAAAAAAAGAACTTCTGCTCTTATTTCTGTTAAGATCATTAAGCTTTAGCTGTTAAGTAACTTCAAATTTTACATAGGAGGGAACCAGCAGTTAGCGTAATGGCTATGTCGCTGGACTCCCATGCAGTCGACCGTGGTTCGCGTCCCGGACCCAGTGGCTTAAAACTCACGCCGGGCGCTTGTGCGTGTGTGCCCAAGATCCTGAGAGGAGAATGGAGGAGAAGGGATTGCGGCGTGACCATCCCCCCTGGGGGGTGATTTCTCGCTTTCTGTCTCTGTCTCTGTCTGTCTGGCGAGCGCACGCGCCCTATAGCAAAAACCTCTCAAAAAAAAAATTTACATAGGAGAGAGGAGGACCACCTCCTCTCACTCAGCATATCACAGAGCTTCATTTGTGTTCTGTGTATTAGGGCTTTACTCATTTTTCTTGAGTAACATTTTATTGTTGAGTATACCATCATTTCTTTATCCATTCACATGTGAATGGACATTGGACTGTTAACAGTTTTTAGCTATTATGAGTAAATTTACATACATATATATATACATGCCCTTTTGGGGTTATATGTTTTGATTTTTATTGATAAAATGCTACCAGTGAAATTGCTAGGTAAGTATATATTTTACTTTTTTAAAAAAACAAGTTTTCCAGGGACCAGCAGTTAGCATAATGGCCATGTCGGTAGACTCCCATGTAGTCGACCGTGGTTCAAGTCCTAGACCCAGTGGTTTAAACTTATGCTGGGTGCGTGTGCGTGTGTGCCCAAGATGCTGAAAGAAGAATGGTGGAGAAAGG